TAGCCTCCTGCCACTGCAGGCTGGGGCCAGTGGCGACACTGGCCTCTTCCCAGTGCTCAGGGCATGCAGCTCCCGGGGCAGGGCCAAAGCTGGAACCTCCAGGGTGCAGCTTAAACCTGCCCACCCTGGGAGCAATTCCTGTGGGCCACCCTGTCCCACCTGGGGACAGAGCCGGGAGACCCCTGCCACCAAGCAGTGGCTCCAGCTACCCTCTCCCGGCCCCCACGTGGCCACTGCCACCCCCTTGCCCCCCACTCCGTATGCAGCCACTGCCACCGCATCCGTTTGGAAATCTGTGCCTCAGGTAACCAGCACAGCTGCATTTTTAGCTTACCAGCACCACCCATTTTTCAGTTCAAATCGCTGTTAACCAGCATGAGTGAGGAATGGGCCATTCCCCATACCAGTTAACAGGGATCTGAACTGAAAAAATGGGTGTAAATCAGTAAACAAACAAATAACTTCAAAAAAAAACAAATCAGGGAATTTATCAGTGAAAATCGGTTAAAACTGAGAATGCGGAACACTAGCAAAGATACAGTCTAATATGATAAATGAAGTCTGTTATTTACATCACTGAATTAATCCAGTTATCGTCTTTGTTTAGGAACAGCCTATATTTCCTGCTCTAAGCTCAAGTGTCTCTGACCACAGTGGGAACATTTGTCCTCTTCTTGCAGTGTTGATTACATCCCATTTCTAGGTAGGCTACAACAAAAATCCATTCTGATAAAATTAGCATGATCCAATTAGCGGGGAAAGCATATTTCTTAATTAAATGCTCTGATTTGTTCTCAAACCCTCTCTTCAGGTTCATTCTTAGTTTAAATCTGCAAGCTGCAGACAGATCAGAGAGATTTTGAAGGTTTGAAGTAGTTAGCCAATAAATGCTGGACAACGAGAAACTGGATTTTCCAAAAGTACAAAATGAACAACTCAAATGGAAAAAGTAGCTTATTCATGACTTATTTGTATCGCTTTATACAAACCACTTTTCTGCTTTTTCACTTTATACCCATACATGTTTATACTGTGTAACAGTAAAAAAAGTTGTATTTGACCTTTCTTTGACCATTGCTAAAAACTTTCAAAAAATCTTGATATAAAAGCAAAATATTGAAGTCTTAAGGAAAGTTACAGTAGTTTGCTGCATGAGTATTGGCATTTGGTGTGCCTGCTGGTGGAACTCATGAAAGCAAGTAATATGGAAGTATAAAATAAGGAGGACTGTTCAACTTAGCTTCCAACTTTGGTTCTTTATTAGACTGATATTGTTTTCTTCTTAAAATGATAAGCTCTCTTTGAACTGCACCTTTTCAATGCCTAACACACAGTTACCTGATCCTCCAATATTTCAGCTGTACAAAGAAAGGGTTGTCTATACAGGCACTGTAGCAATGAATATCAGGAAACAATACCTCTCTGCAGACTTTGACACAAAAGGTACACTGAAAACCTTAATTTCTTTAACTTTGATTAGAGGCTGTCCAGCACTGCAATGCAACCTTATGGCATTTATATCCATGCTAAAATATGTCCAAAACCTACTCCCCACACCGAATTATGATGCTAGTGTCTGTGATATAACACTCATATTCTCTGTTCCTTCTTCAAAGCATCTGTCCCAGCACTCAAATAATGTCCACTCCCATCTCCCAAGACAAATGGTACAAAAGAACACTAACCTCAATCTGCTGGATGGCTTCCTCCCGTTGACGGATGGCCTCCAAGTCCTCTTCGGTGATTTCTGAGAGCAGGGCCTGATCTTGATCCTGGCTCTGCCACATGCTATCCCCTCCATTGAAGATCTTCTCATCATCAGCCAAGTCAGAGAAAGGAGTGCGGGGACTCTGCTGAAACCAAAAAGAGGAAACAAAAGACACTGAGAGGTTTATCCCTTTTATACTGCATAGTTCCAGGGGACAAGCAGGGAAATTAAATTATAATGCAAACAATTGAGTTGTTCATGGCAAAAATGGAAGAACCAAAAGCACTAAGGCAGATGGATGTTAAGGGTGGAAGAGACTTAGGGCGCCTGCAAGCACTATGGAGTTTAATCCTCATTAAAATAAATAGGTTTATAATATTTAAACTTGTTTATTTTGGAGTGTTGCATCAGTGTTTACATGCACTACGTTTTCAAATGAATTAAGCTTTGGAGTGTTGCATCAGTGTTTGCATGCATTAGGTTTTCAAACAAATTAAGCACGGACCTCGGCCAGCACTGCAGGAGAGCAGGACAGTCCAGTGCTGCCCCCTGCCCTGGGCCCTTCACCCTGTGCCTGTGCCCTGCCATACAGCTGTTGGAGCAGGGAGCCAACAAAAAAGCAGAAGCAATTCAAAAGTGGAAGCAATTCAAAGGGGTGAACACTCAAAAATTTTGCAGCAGCATCTGGTGGACAAAGAGGCCCATTACACATTTTGAGTGCCGATGTGTTTGCATGCAACAAATCTATGGATGCAACATTTTAATTTGCGGTGAGCCAAACTAAACTATTTCCAAAAAGTTTTACTTTAATGCACCAGAAAGGCTTTTAAAGCATCCAGAAAAAACACCTGTGCAAACAGTCACACCACTGCAGTGCAAGAAAGGACAAAAAACATTGCGTGTACAAATGCCCTTAGACACCAACTCATGAAATCCAGCTCCTCAATAAGAACTGAGTCAGTTGCCCAGGAGGTTCCAAACTACGATGACAGTCCAAAACCTCAGCTAAGAGAGCAAGCTAATGGATATGCTCTGCTGTGGTGACATCTTCTAGGTGTCAAACTCTGAGAACCACCATTCACCTATACTATGGCAATTGTTCTGCATGATACTCTGGGTTAAACCATCTCCTGCTGGAATATCCATGATACACTAAGATGGAAGTTTCATAATTTCATTGGTTTAAAACTCAACTGGACAAACAGCAAGTATTAGGCAGATAGTCTAATAATCATACTTTGCACTTATAAAGCACTTCCTTTGTCAAGATGGCAAAGCATAGTATGGTTATTATTGCCTAATGACATTCTTAAATATTGGTATAGGGAACTACCATAACTTTTATACCTTGTATACCAGTCCCTTTTATACCAGGTGCATCTGGCAAAACACATCCACAGAAGTAAATCATATACTAGTTACTGCATCCTTGGAATACCAAGCCACCACCCTCTTATTGCAACATGGCTAGTAGAATAACATCTACAGACCCATTGTAACAGATGTTGTAGATACATATTAGAGATGACAGACCCTGCCTCAGGATCTGAAAATCAAAATATAATATATGGATGGAAGATAGAAGAAAGGAAGTGTTAGCCCCATTTTACAGATGGCAAAGGAAAGAAGTTATTGTGACATAAAGTCATGCTTGTAGTCTTGGAAGAGCTGGGAATTGAACACAGATCTCCCGAGTTCCAGTCTAGGAGATGCTTTTCTCTGCTGTAGGTACAAAATATTTGAATACACACTTAAAATGAAGCATACTGAATCCATTGACTTCATCTGCTAATGCTCACCATGCCCACTCCACGCACAACTGAGTTAGGTACATCATCAATCCGTACACAAACACAATTTTCCTACCCTGACCACTTAGCACAGCAAGTGATATGGATGCAGTGGAGAAGGACAAAGAACAGCAGTCACAGTAATAATACCATGTAGTTATCAGGGGCTCCATTTAGTTTATTTGCTCTTCTGCGTTCACTGGCTTGTTGCTGACTCGGCAAACTTTCGTTTCAGGAAGGATCTAGGACTCCAGTCCTGCCAAGAATGACATATGTGCTTATCTTCCAACTTGTGCAGAGTCCCATTAAGCTAGCTTTGCTTAGTTTGGCTTTCTAATCAAAAGTAAAATTATAATAGCTGCCCAGGTGCCTGAAATGCTCTGAAGTTGCACAAAGGCACTGTAAAGGCTTAGCCATCGGTGCTTCTCAGGGAATCGTGTGTGAGAAGGAAATGTGCTTGTTTTATTTTGCTGTGGTCCTGCTTCTGAAGACTGCAAATTGTCCTCAGTTCCCACCGAACCAGTCAGTCAAAGGCTCTCAGCATTTCACTGGAGGTGCACAGGGCCTTGCAAGATTGGGCTGTAACAGCTGAAGTAAAAACCAGCAGAAGACTCCTCTTGGTAGCCCATTACCACAAGAGGTTGTAGAGGGACACAGTACAGCTGGGATCAAAAAAGTTCAAGTCATGGATGATTGTTCTGTTTAATAGCTATTAATGGATCTGTCTAAGATGTTTCCTTTGGCATCTGTAAGCCAACCCTGGTGGAAGCCAGGGAGGGTAATGAACAGGGGAGAGATCACTCTAGATCAGGGTTGTCCAACATCCGAATGGTACATGGCCCCAGGCCACCCGGCCACAAACGGTGCAACCCCCCATCCCTGTGCCCCACCTCAGGGGCGGGGGCAGGCAGTGGAAGCTGGAGGAGGCAGGGGGAGCCGGTGACAGCTGCAAGAGAGTGCCAGGGGGCCAGTGTCAAGACCAGGAGTAGAGGGGATGAACTTGAACCCCTCAGAAGTCACATGCAGCCCATGGGCCGCCAGTTGGACAGCTCTGCTCTACATACACCCCATTCAGTGCTCTGACCCTAAAGCACTCACTTCTACCACTGTCGGAGACAGGTTACTGAGCTAGATGGACCGTTGGTCCAAACTAGTGTAGCCTTTTCTTTTTTTTTTCATGAAGGGATTAATGGCACAGCCACTGGTTGTAACCAAAGAGAAAAACATGCCCCCAGCATTGCTTCTGTCATGTTTGGTTTTATTTGCTCACTGTGAAGGAAGCATAATGGGACAGTGAAGAGCAAGTGGCACACTTCAAAATGGGAGTCAAACGTCAAACATTAAGGCCGTATGTCGGCAACTTCATTGGGGGGCTGGACTTATGTAAGTGCTGAATCCACAGTAATTCTCACTCCCTTTGTTTGGACCTGCTGGATGTTTGGCACATATAGAAATCAGACCACTAATTAATTCGGTTAAATATGGTCATACGCCCCTGCATGTTGGTAATTAAAAAAAAAAAAACAACAAAAAACCCACAAGAAATAAAATGAGGCATGAAGTGAGAGTAGCGGAAGGGAGAGATGCTGCCCACATACCAACTGGGTGGCAAACATCAAAGTACTTATTTTTCATAGCTCTAAATGTAAGAAATTTGCCACTAATATTTTCAAAACTCTAAATATAGAAAATGTATCGTTGATATTTTCTATTCTTTCCTTGCCTCCCTCCTCCAGGGAACTACTTTCTGTGGAGAAAGGATACACTGCAAAAGGAAAATCACCGTAAAAAAAAAATAGGTTTAAAAATGCATTTATACTTGCAGGGCCATATTTTAATAGCATTAAAACACTCCAGGGGGTGTTTTACTGAACAATTAATATACACCTTGGATGGCTGAAGGCATCTGGCAAAGTGCCGTCATTGCCCCAGGCATGTACTTAATGAAGCAATAAAACACCCCCCAGGGCGTCCTAATGCTACATTTGTAGCTGTGATAATCTAGTCTCACCTTAACACAGGCATTTTTCTGGCGTTAAGGTTAACAGGAATGGCAACACAGACACCATTACCACTTTTTCCTACAGCTATTGATTTGCAACTCAGATGTGTTTATTGCCAGGCAGCCACGGTTATACAGGGCAACGGGGGACGCCACCATCGTAGCAAACACACGCCGTCAGCTGCCATGAAGCAAGCCTCCGTGATCATGAGTTCCTATCACTGCTCTCCCGCGTTTCAAGCACGGCACTCTGTGCAATAATAAAGGGACTCCATCTGTGCTGCAGCAGTTGGATCTTTATTAAGTGCACTGTACGCAGTGCTGCTACATGAAGCTTGAACATACAGATTTGGGGGGGGGGGGGTGGAAGCTTACTAGGACTACCCTCAAAATCGTTCTTCTTACAAGTTCTGCTCCAACCTTCAGGTCGTCACACCTTGATCTTACCTTCTCTTTCTCTCTTCTAACTTGTCATACCCACCCATGCCGTTGTCTTGGCAGATACACTTGGAGGAATGGCAGCATTCACACAGCACAGTTTTCATGGGTTTCTGGAGGTAACTGTCAGGCAAGTCAATGAACACAACAATCCAGCTATAATAATGATCAGGCAGCACTCAAATATCTTTTTTTTAAGACACGGCCATTATCTCTTTAAAGAGACCGCATCCCAAGCACGTTATATCCATGCTCTTGGCATGACGTATGGGGCTGGGGGACATGACTTGTGAGAAGAAGCTGAGGGAACTGGGTTGATTGAGTCTGCAGAAGAGAAGACCGAGGGGGATTGAATAGCAGCCTTCACCTCCCTGCAGGGGGGCTGCAAAGAGGATGAAGCTGTGCTGTTCTCAGTGGGGGCAGATGACAGGACAAGGAGCAATGGGCTCAAGCTCCAGCAAGGGAAGTTGAAGTTGGATATTAGGAAAAACTTTCTCAGTAGGAGGTTAGTGAAGCACTGGAATGGGGTACCTAGAGGGGTGGACTCTCTATTCTTGGAGGTGTTTAAGAGCCAATGCAACAAAGCCTTGACTGGGATGATGTCGTTGGGACTGGTCCTGCTTTGAGCAGGGGTTTGGACTAGATGTGGCCTCCCAAGGTCCCTTCCAACCTCATTTTCTATGATTCTTTATATAAAGTGGTGATGCGAGTTTCCATCAGTCACTGAAAGCAACTACCTGATTTTATCTCCCTGGTATCTTGCAAAACGCCACATTACTGTGATTGAGCATTTCACACAAAACAATGGGATACGATGCACGGTGGCTGGAATTTCCTGGAAGATGTGAAAGTGGCCCCTTGTTAACTTCAAAACAGTCACCACTACGTCAGTCCATATTTTGCAGCTAATTTGAT